CCCGGCGCTGTGTTCACCTTGTGCCGCACAGGGACGGCTGCCATCAGGGGTCCCCTAGGCATTATTTATGTCTTTCTTTTTCTTTTTAAATATATATTTTTTCTGGAAACCTTTCTAAGAATTCGAGTCAACAGGGGGAATGTAAAGGCGCATGCCCTGCAATTTCCAGCGCACGCCACTCGACAGCACGCTGGCAAGAGGAGAGAGTACCCACATTGTACCCCACCACACGCAACGGGGGCGTCGAACTATCGAACCGGGCACTCATTTGAGTACTCGAGTACCCTTTTGAGTACCCGTGAGCGGGACATCGAACTCGGGTCGCCGGGTGCGGAGCGCAGCGCGCTAACCGTGTGTGTGTACTTAACACACACACACGTATACTTAACACATACACATACACACGTATACTTAACACACACACACACACACCTGTGCTTAACACACACACATACACATGTATACTTAACACACACACACGTGTACTTAACACACACACACACATACACATGTATACTTAACACACACACACACGTGTACTTAACACTTACACATACACACGTATACTTAACACACACACACACACCTGTGCTTAACACACACACATACACATGTATACTTAACACACACACACGTGTACTTAACACACACACACACATACACATGTATACTTAACACACACACACGTGTACTTAACACTTACACATACACACGTATACTTAACACACACACACACCTGTGCTTAACACACACACATACACATGTATACTTAACACACACACACACGTGTACTTAACACACACACACACATACACATGTATACTTAACCCACACACACACACACACACGTGTACTTAACACTTACACACACATACACATGTATACTTAACACACACACAACTGTACTTAATACACACACACACGTATTCTTAACACACACACGCACACGTGTACTTAACACACACACACGTATACTTAACACACACACGTATACTTAACACGCACACACACGCGTGTACTTAACACACACATACACACGTGTACTTAACACACACACACATCCACACGTATACTTACACACATACACCCACGTATACTTAACACACACTCACGCGTGTACTTAACACACACACTCACGCGTATACTTAACACATACACACTCGTATACTTAACACACACACATACACACGTGTACTTAACACACACACACGTATACTTAACACACACACACACGTGTACTTAACACACACATACACACTTATACTTAACACACACACACACACGTATACTTAACACACACACACACACGTGTACTTAACACACATACATGCATTCACAATTACAACCACTCAAATACGAGTATATATACAAACAAGCACGCACGCGTACTTTAAAAGGCAACTCATGACGTTCTTTATTTTACTCTGAAGAAAGAGAAAAAACGTCCCAAGCGGAATGCTTCACTGGCCCCCTTGGCGTCGTTTCTCGCCGGTGATTGAATTCAATTCGCGAGCGAAGGGACGGTGGAGTGGTGGCGCAGTGGTTAGCGCACTGCCACCACCACTAACAGGGCGGTGGGCGATCTGAGCCGTGATTCTCGGCCACCGGCAACACGAGTGACGACTGATGTGTCCGAACCGGTTTTTGGGTCTTCCCCTAGGTCGGCTCGGCCTTAAAACGAGTGAGTGGACAGTGTCTATTCGAGTTTAACAGAACAACTGCCGTCAGTCAGGCGTCCGTTAAGAGGTGCCCAGCGGATAATCATCACCAACAACAACAACAACCAATAATCACCAACAACAATAATAACAACCAATCGATTAATCAACAATAACAGCCAATTGAAAAACCACCACCAAAAACAACCAATTGATTAATCACCACCACCAACAACAACATTCCAATAATCAACAACCAATCCAATAATCACCACCACCACCACCAACAATCAATTCATTAATCACCACCACCACCACCAACAACAACCAATTGATTAATCACCACCACCACCAACAACATTCCAATAATCAATAACCAATCCAATAATCACCACCACCACCAACAACATTCCAATAATCAACAACCAATCGCTCAATCGAACGTCAAACTCCCGAGTGTCGCCGCGCAGTCCCCACTCGACGTTTCGTCGCCTCGCCCACAGCAGGGCGTCACGTGGTGCTCCCCGCCTCGCATCACGTGGTGCTGCAATATCTCGTCGCGTTACCGACTCGCAGATGGCAGTGAGGCGGTGACCGCCGAACTGTTCAACATTGTTCACGTCTCTCATCGTCAAACGTGTTGCTTCATATTAGCAACGACACGAGTTGACAATGCGCTTCCCTGCGAAGTATTGTATTTGTTTACACATTGCATCAGCCGCACGACTCTCTGTAAGTTCTTCTTGTTCCTTAAGCCGCATTGGTTTTGTAAAACTGCGAAACCTTTGACCGGTTTCGACATTCAGTAACTCATCAGCAGAGTCAGGCCTTGCTAACACCCACGCGGGTGAACCGTCACGTGTTCATACGCAATGGCCCACCTTCTATTGTAATCAATAACGCCGAATAATCGACAGAATCGTGATCGCTAGTGTTTTTCTTCATCAAAGTCACGTTTTGTCAATGCCATTACATTCGGATGGCTCTGCAATTCAGTTCAACTAGAGCCAAAACAACCGAACACATTCCAGGGCGGCCCCTCGGTTCGAACCGTGCACTGCCGCTGGGCCATGCCACCGTCTATAGCCCGGCTTACAATGTCTCACTCGGATTAGGGGCGTAAGATACCACTACTGACATTAGAGTACAATGTCTACACCTATCCATAACACTGGTCAACACACTTTTTTCTGGCATAAGGTATTTAAATGGTTTTAATGTAATTTTGGGGTGCTGATTCCAAATCAGTTTTTGTCTATCACATCAGGTTTCTGAGATATCAAATGTTGCATTTTCAATAAAAACTGCAGAAGAAAAATATTAAATAAATGTGGATATCTACATAAAATGATATTATAAACACACTATCCTAAAAAATACGGCACCATATTTTAACACTAAAGCAGTCACTGACTCGCAACAACTTGCAATCATAAGTGACAGAGTTAATTTCGGGTAAAATCAATGAAAATGTGGTATGCCGATAACTTAAAAATGAGATGTGATAGAGCAAATTTGAGATCAAATTTGGAATCAGCATCCTGAAATTAGTCTAAAACAGCTGCAAAAGTCCAGGCCAGAAAAAAATGTGTTTTGTTGTTGTTGACCAGTGTAATCCTACATCATTGCACCTTACATTGTACGCCGATAATTCTATCAACGCATTCACAGTTCGTTTCTTTTCTGGTGAGATCGTGTGGTCGTAAAATGCCAAAATTGCATTGTAACCCTCCACCACCCGACATGACCAATCACGTTTTTGCTTTCACATGATACACGAGACGATCTCACCCCGAGATGAGCTAATCGCGGATCATCGCGTTGGACGTGAATGACTCGAGATGGCTGAGTCGTAGCAACAATAACAACGCTCCTTGAATGATCCAGCCGGTAATCAAGCAACTGTGGTTATACAGGTACTGTGTTTCGATTTAAAGCTTTCGTGACTGCAGGGATTCATCTTCTTGGTTCTTTCAGTAAAGTCACGTAGAAGGGAAGTAATAAAATAATAAAAATAAAACATAATAAAATAAAAGATTTCGTGACTGCAGGGATTCATTTTCTTGGTTCTTTCGGTAAAGTCACATAGAATGGAAATAATAAAATAATAACAATGAAACATAATAAAATACAATTCTCACGACGTTTCGGCCACAACGCAAGCAGCCGTCCTCAGGTAAAGACCAGGTCTGTTGGGGAGACAGCGTCTGAATGAAACGTCGTGAGAATTATTTTATTATGTTTTATTTTTATTTTTTTATTATTTCCATTCTACGTGCCTTTACCGAAAGAACCAAGAAGAAGGTGCTGTGTTGTTATTATTAACCAGGTAGAGGCGCAGCCCTGCAATTGCTATCCCACGCCAACTGCTGTTGAGCATTGCGACGGTACAACAACTTCCGCCGTTGTTTCAACGGCCCCCTTCATACAAACTTCCAAATTGACAAGACACAACCCAAACCACTTGCATAGCGCTATTCACGAAGACAAAGCTCTCCCGTATATCCATCAACAGACTGCTGGGAGGGCAAGTTCTGTTAGCAAGCACCTATGAAAGGCAGCAATGTCACACCATTTGGTTTCGTGGCCAGAATCACGCCCGGCCGCCTTTGTCTCCCGAGTGGCGATGTTTACACACCACACCAGGTACACATTTGAGGCTGAATTCGACCCAGGGGAGGCCCAGAACACACTTATACACACTCACTCATGCGCATACATTACACGGCTGCACTTTACCCAAACTCACCCGCTCACTCACACCTCCCAACACAAACAAAGACCCCTAGTGTAGACATTACCAGACTGTTGGGGCAAGTGCTGTTAGCGAGTAACAGCACATGTCAAGGGAGCGCGCACACACACACACAACGTGTACACTCACTCACCCACTGAATCACCCATCCATGCATGCGCTCATCCACGTAATCACTCACCCACTCATTCGCTCACGCAGCCACTCACTCAACAACTTACTCACTCACCCACCAACCCACTAACTTATTCGCTCACTCATTCACTCACCCAGACATTCACTCATCCAGCCATCCACTCATCCACTCAACCAGTCATTCACTCATCCACTCACCGAGCCATCCACTCACCCAGCCATTCACTCATTCACTCACTTATCCACTCACCTAGCCATCCACTCACTCACCCTTTCACTCATCCATTCACTCATCCACTCACCCAGCCATTCACTCATCCACTCACCCAGCCATTTACTGACCCAGTCATTCACTCATCCACTCACTCACCCTTTCACTCATCCACTCACACAGCCACTCACCCATCCACTCACTCACGCTCTCACGCACGCCCGGCCCTTGCACCACTCACCAGCGGCGAATAGAAGGCAGACGGCTCCGCTCCGTAGGGGACGTAATTCCCGTATCCCTGTGCCGCGGCTGCCGCTGCGTACGAACCCCCATAGACCCCGAGGGCCGTGAGGTCCCCTCGGGCAGCCGCCGAGGCCAACAGTCGGCTGTTGTACGGGGAGCAGCAGACCGTGGGGGCAGCCACGGCCGACGGGTGAAGCGGAGGAGGGGTGGCCGGTCCCGTGGCCACTCGCGAACCCGGAGTCGAACCTGTGGTGCCGTCCGCCGGGGCGGAATTTGAACCTCTGTTGTTGATGTTGCTGCTGTTGTTGCTGTCGTAGCAGGGAGGGCTAATGATGCCACCGCCGCCGCTGCTGCTGCTGTTGCTGCTGCTGTTGTTGTTGCTGTTGTTGTTGCTGTTGTTGCTGCTGCTGAGAATGCTGCTGTTGTTGTTGCTGATGCCGCTGATGATGCCCGGGATGACGGAGGAGGAGGAGGGAGGCGAGGAAACGAGGAGCTGAGTGTGTGGAGGAGGAGGAGGAGGAGGAGAGAGATTTCATGATGAGGTGTGGGTGCTGATGGTGCTCGTCATGGTGGAGATGCTCGTTCTTAAATCGCGGTCGGGCGGCACGGAACGCCAAGCGGACAGCAACAAAGAGCACTATGCAAGTTATCATACCAACGGTGATGGTGGTGCTGATTGATTATCGGAGTGGTGAGGATGGTGGTGGTTGAGGTGGAGGTCAAGATGGTGGTGATAGTGGTGAGGTGGTGGTGATGGTGGTGGTTGAGGTGTTGGTGAGAATAATGGTGAAAGTGGTGAGGATGGTGGTGATGGTGGTGGAGGTGGTGGTGAGGATGGTGGTGATGGTGGTGAGGATGGTGGTGATGGTGGTGGAGGTAGAGGTGAGGATGGTGGTGATGGTGGTGAGGATGGTGGTGATGGTGGTGGAGGTAGAGGTGAGGATGGTGGTGATGGTGGTGATGGTGGTGAGGATAGTGGTGATGGTGGTGGTTGAGGTGGTGGTGAGGATGATGGTGAAAGTGGTGAGGATGGTGGTGATGGTGGTGGAGGTGGTGGTGAGGATGGTAGTGATGGTGGTGAGGATGGTGGTGGTGGTTGTGGAGGTGGTGGTGAGGATTGTGGTGATAGTGGTTGTTGAGGTGGTGGTGAGGATGGTGGTGATGGAGCTAGTGGTGACGATGGTGGTAATTGGGTTGAGGATGGTGGTGATGGTGGTGGTTGAGGTGGTGGTGAGATTGATGGTGAAAGTGGTGAGGATGGTGGTGATGGTGGTTGAGGTGGTGGTGAGGATGGTGGTGATGGTGGTGGTTGTGGTAGTACTCCTGTTGATGATATTTGAAGTATTGTTGATCATTATTGATAATGATGATGTCGCTGTACTAATGATGATTCACTTGATTTCAGAATGATGATGATGATGATGATTTATGTGATGAGTAGGATTGTTATTTAACGAGGTGATAGTAATGATGATCGTGATGATTGTATAACACATGGTGGGCTTGCTTTTGAAATGATGTTGAATGCAATGATTACGAAAGGGATACTTTGCAATGTAAAATTGTGATGATGATGATTATGATAACGAGCGATGATAATGGATGATGGTATTGATTTTAGATGTATGATAGCATCAATGAGTGATTTTATGAGCAAGTACTAATAATGGTGATGATGATTAAATCGTTTTTTAGGCAACATGTTTACGTTCTTAGACGGAGGAATAATCCACACACACGTGTACTCGGGTACACAGACTCCCTGTGTAGTACCTGTAAAATGTACTTACACGGATACAACATACAAAGTTCCCCCGTATATACATTTAACATACTTGTGGCAAGTGCTGTTAGCGAACACCGATCAAGCCCGGCACGGCACACGTTTGGTTGGATGGCCAACCCCGAAACCCGACCGCCTTTGTCTTCCCAGCGCTGATGTTATCACGCAGCACCAGACACTCATTTAAGGCTAAGTTGACTTAGGTCGGGCCCAGGAACTGGCTTCAAATTATCCACCACTTTAATCCTTCGTGATCGGTAGCTGAACCCGGGTCGCCCGGTTCGGACAGCGCAGTGTGCTAACTACTGCGCCACCGCTCTCCGCATGCAATGCAAGCAGACACACACGCGCGTGCATGTACATATAGACGGTCACGGACGCGTTCCAAACGTAGGGGGTACATTAGTAGATACAAGAACATACGCAACATACAAAGACAAATATCCCCAGGATAGCCTGAACAGACTGTTGGGGCAAGTGCTGTTAGTGAGCACCAAATTGAGGCTGAGTCGACCTAGGGGAGGCCCAGGACCGGTTCAGATAAACGTCACATGGTGTCGGCCTTGAGCGGGAATCAAACTCGGGTCGCCGGGTTCAGTAGTTGAGTGCGCAAACCGCGACTTTACCGCTTATCACCAAAGACAAATATTCCCGTACAGCCTTAACAGACTGTTGGGGCAAGTGCTGTTAGCGAGCACCTATGAAGGCCGGCACAGCACGCGAGGGGGTGGGTGGCCAGCACCCCGCCCGGCCGCCTTTGTCTCCCCAGCGGCGATGTTTACACACCGCACCAGGGAGCGATTTGTGGCTGAGTCGACCTAGGGGAGCCCCAGGACCCATTCGGATAATCGTCACTGGGTGTTGGCCGTGAGCGGGAATCAAACTCGAGTGGCCGGGTTCGTAGCGCAGCGCGCTAACCGCTACACCACCGCTCCCCGTTGTGTGCATGTACACAGACAAGTCTATGCATGATAATAGACGCACGGTTATGGGTGAGAACATAGAGACACACACACGCGTGTACACACGGTGCGCGTACACAATGCACATACAAATACAAAGAACACCCATATAGCCCACATTAGACTGTTGGGGCAAGTGCTGTAAACGAGCAATTATGAAGGCCGGCAGAGTGCCCGGTACGAGGGGGTGGTGTGGCCAGCCCCAGTCCCGGCCGCCTTTGTCTCCCCAGTACTGATGAGTGTACACACCGCACCAAGTGATCCGAGTGGAGGTCCATGACCGGTTCACGTAACCACTCACCACCGACGTTAACCGTGGCCGGGATTCGAACTCAGGTGGCCAGGTGGTTTATTGCACAGCGCGCTAACCGATCACTGCGCACACAAAGACAAATACCTCCCGTAAAGTCTCAACAGACTGTTGGGGCAAGTGCTGTCAGCGAGCGGCTATGAAGTTCGACGCAGCACACGAGGGGGTGGATGGCCAGCACCACGCACAACACGCACACTAACTAGCTTAAACTATTTTCTATTTTACCAGCTAAAGCCCAATGAGCGATGTAGTTTTTTTTTCAGAAGCGACCTGGCCACAGATGATAGCACAACGAAGTGGCTTATCACGTGGACATTGATAGCAGCCAGGTTCTCTAAACGCGGAATTATTATAAATGTGGAGGCAAAAACCGGAGGAGGCGGACAACATTCCACGCGACCACGGGGAGAGAGACACCGCAAACTCCAAATATACAGCGGCAGCAGGCGTTGTCAGGGTCGGGATCGAACCCACAATCTTCTGTAGAAGAGGAGAGGGAGTTAACATCTCCTAGCCACCGTGACGCCCCGAACCGCACACTTTAGACAAACACACACAAGCGCATACAGAAACTTAGACACACACACACGTTAGACACATCACACACGCACATGGAGACATAAACTTAGACACAGACACACGATAGACACACACACACAGGCATACAGAAATTAGACACACACACACACGATACACACATCACACACACGCGCATGCAGAAACTTAGACACACACGATATACACACACACACGCATACATAAACTTAGACACACACACACGTTAAACACATCACACACGATAGACACACGTAAACAAGAGAAAACACACACGATACACACATCACACACACACGCATACATAAACTTAGACACACACACACGACACACGCGCACACGTACAATACGCTACACAACGAAGAGAAATGCATACTCACATTCCCCTTCCTGTAAGCAATCATCCCAACGTTACGATCGTGCCGTGTGTGTGTGTGTCTGTATGTGTCTGCCTGTAACTGTGTGTGTCTGTCTCGATATGTGTGCGTGTGCGTATTCGTCTGTGTGTCTGTGGTGTAGCGGTTAGCGCACTGCGCTACGAACCTGGCCACCAGAGTTCAGTTCCCGCTCACGGCCAACAACGGTGACGATTATCTGAACCGGTCCTGGGCCTCTCCTAGGTCGACTCAGCCTCAAATGTGTACCTGGTGCGGTGTGTAAACATCGCCACTGGGGAGACAATGGCGGCCGGGCGTGGTTCCGGCCTTCGTAAAGTGTTCTCTCCAAATTTATATTCTTGGTTCTTTCGGTAAAGTCACGTAGAAGGGAAATAATAAAATAAAAAAAATTATTTCCCTTCTACGTGACTAATGATATGAATCCCTGCAGTCACGAAAGCTTTACATCGAAATTTGTTCATTACAAGTTAGTTGGCCAGAAGTCTGTTCAGGCTGTAGGGGGGACCTTTGTGTGTGTGTGTGAGAGAGAGCGAGCGAGGGAGAAAGTCATAGCGAGACGTTTGGCAATAGGGTCACATATATATATAGAGAGAGAGCCGTTAATTTTCATGATCATCAAATGATAACATAATTTCATCGTGATCATCATCACGAGCATAATCAATCAAAAGTAAATGTTCATCAGCATTATCAGTTCATTGTGTCAATTATGATAATACTTTAATTGCCATCATGATATCATTATCTTTATAACATAATACATTACCATACATTATCATAAACTCTTCATCAACGTCATCAGATTGTCACAATCATCATCGTCATCACCATCATCATTAAATCCATTAAATCTTTATCATGAGATGATCATGATCAGATCATCAAAATATATTTATCACCAAATCACTATTAAACTTTAATAATCATTATCATATAATCATGATATAAGACGATACGATTGTCATCATCATCATCATGAACTCACCATTACCTCTACAAATTATCATCATCATCATCATCATAAGTATCATGAGATGATAATCATCATAGTAAGATTGTAATCATTATCATGAACGTACAATTATAATCATCATAAGTATAACGGTCATATACTCATCATCATGATCGTACTGTATAATCATCATATAATCATCATCCATCATCATAATCACATCAGATGATAATCATCGTAAGATTGTCATCATCATCATGAACTCACCATTACCTTTATCATGATCATATAATTATCATCACGATAATACAGTATAATCATCATCATCATATATTCATCATCAATCATCATATAAGACGCTAATAATCATCGTAAGACTGTCATCAGCATGAACGCACAATTACCTTTACAATTATATCATCATCATCGTAAGTATAATGAACATATCATCATCATTATCTCCACTCACACTCAAGGGCGCACACACACACAGACACACACACAGACACACACTCCGTCGACACGAAGTCAATGTCAAACAGGACGCAAGGCTTCTCACTCGCACGCGGCTTTTACAGAGCACGCCGGCTCAACTCGCATCCCCACATCAAGCCTGGCTGTGGCTCCCGTTAATACGCCACTAAAATCTTAGACGTAAGCATGTGCACACACACACGCGTACGTCACACACTTACGTACACACGTGAGCACACACGCGTGTGCAACACAAAGACGCATGCACCCACACACACATACACAAAGACGCATGCACCCACAAACATACACACAGACGCATACACACACGCGTATATACAGACGCATACACACACGCGTACACACACGCGTACATACACACAGAGACGCGTCCACAGGTAAAGATCCCCCGTATAGCCTAAACAGACTGTAGGGTCAAGTGCAGTTAGCGAGCACCTATGAAGGCCAGAACGGTGCACGAAGGGGTGGGTGGCCAGCACCACGCCCGACCGCCTTTATCTCCCCAGTGGCGATGTTTATACACCACCCCAGGTACTCATTTGAGGCTGAGTCGACCTAGGAGAGGCCCGGGACCGGTTCAGATAATCGTCACCGGTGTTGGCCGTGAGTGGGAATCGAACCCGGGTCGCCAGGTTCGGAGCGCAGCGTAGCGCTAACCTCTACACCACCGCTCCACAGGCACGCATGTACACACACACGCATGTACACACACACGCATGTACACACACAGACGCATGTGCAAACACGCATGCACACACACACACACGCATGTACACACACACGCATGTACACACAGGCGCATGCACGCACACACACATGCACACACACACGCATGTACACACACATGTACACACAGACGCATGTGTACACACACACATGTACACACAGACGCATGTACACACACATGTACACACAAACGCATGTGTACACACACACATGTACACACAGACGCATGTATACACACACGCATGCACACACACACGCATGTACACACACATGTACACACACGCATGTACACACACGCATGTGTACACACGCATGTACACACACACGCATGTACACACACACATATACACACACGCATGCACACACAGACGCATGCACACACGGACGCATGTACACACACATGTACACACATACGCATGTGTACACACGCATGTACACACAGATACATGTACACACACACGCATGTACACACACACATGTACACACACGCATGTGTACACACACGCATGCACACACACGCATGTACACACAGACACATGTACACACACACAAATGCATATATACACACACACAGAAGTATATACACACGCACGCATATACACACGTACATGCACACAGACGCACACCAATAATCATCAGCGGCATTACTCACACAACACGAAACAATCCCCGTATAGTCTGCAGAGATTTTTGGGGCAAATGCTGTTAGCAAGCACCTATTATGTTGTAGAAACACGCCCGGCCGCCTTTGTCTCCCCCATGCTGATGCTTATTACAGACGGGTACTCATTGAATGCTGATTCGACCTGCATGGAGACCAGGACCTACCTGCTTGAATACCATGGGCTACTGATGTTAGCCGTGACCGGGAGCCGAACTTACGTATGGGGCGGGTTCGTAGCTATTGCGCCGAACCTCTGTTCCACCGCGCTCGACACACGCACACGCGCACTTACGCACCAATAAAGACAAAGATCCCCCGTGTAGCTTTAGCAGACTCTGGGGGCAAGTGCTGGTTAGCGAGCACCTATGAAGGCCGGCACGACGCACGAGGGACTGGGTTTTGCCAGCATCACGCCCGAGTGGCGATGTTTACACACCGCAACTGGAACTTATTTGAGGCTGAGTCGACCTAGGAGACGCCCAGGACCGGGTTCCGATAATCGTCACTGGTGGTGGCCGTGAGTAGGAATCGAAGCGGGGTCATCGGTGTCGTAGCGCAGGGCGCTAACCGCTGCGCCACCGCTCCCCACGACGGAAACATACGCACAGACAGACACACACACAGACGCATGTACACACACGCATACAGGAACTTAGACAGACACACACACTCACAGACTTACATGTACAAATACACCTACAGACATACATACACAGACAGACACACGCATACAGAAACTTAGACAGACATACACAGACAGACACACACACAGACATCCACACACGCATGCGGAAACTTAGACAGACACACACACTCACAGACTTACATGCACAAATACACCTACAGACATACATACACAGACACACACACGCATACAGAAACTTAGACAGACATACACAGACAGACACACACACATACATCCACACACGCATGTACACACAGACGCATGCACACACAGACGCACACGCATACAGAAACTTAGACAGACACACACACGCACAAATTTACATGTACAAATACACCTACAGACATACATACACACACAGACAGACACACACACATACATCCACACACGCATACATAAACTTAGACAGACATACACAGACAGACACACACACGCACAGACTTACATGTACAAATACACCTACAGACATACACAGACACACACACACTCACAGACTTACATGGACAAATACACCTACAGACATACATACACGGACAGACACACACATCCACACACGCATACATAAACTTAGACAGACATACACAGACAGACGCACACACTCACAGACTTACATACACAAAAACACCTACAGACATACATACACACACAGACGTACACACACAGAAGAACACAAACAAAGACACCTACAGACATACACATACAGACATACATACACAGACAGACACACACACAGACGTACACACACAAAGACACCTACAGACATACACACGCAGACATACATACACAGACAGACGTACACACACACTCACAGACTTACATACACAACAACACCTACATACATACATACACACACAGACACAGACACACTCACAGACTTACATACACAAAACACCTACAGACATACATACACACACAGACACACACACACACAGACTTACATACACAAAAACACCTACAGACATACATACACACACACAGACGTACACACACACACGCGCGCGCGCGCACAGATAATGTCAAGACGTCATTGCAAAGTACTTCACAAAGCGGTCGAGGCGCGTGTCGCGTTATTCATCCCAAACAGTCTCGTGATCTCTCCACGTCCATCAACGTGAACGCGACACGGAACCGCCAAATTAAATCCGTAGCTGTGCCGCACGCAGTTCCAACGTCACCGACTCGCGCTGACAATTCTCGGTGAAGTATGGTCGAATGACCCCCCGGCACTGCGCGGAGAGAGGCCCTCATCCAGCGGTGGGTAGAACAAAGGGTTGTAACGTTGCGTGCACATACGCCGAGCTAATCATTACCTTCTTGGCTCTTTCGGTAAAGTCACGTAGAAGGGACAGACCTGGTTTTCACCTGAGGCTGCTTGCGTTGTGGCCGAAACGTCGTGAGAATTGTATTTTATTATGTTTCATTTTTTCTTATTTTATTATTTCCCTTCTACGTGACTTTACCGAAAGAACCAAGAAGATGAATCCCTGCAGTCACGAAAGCTTAAAATCGACATCTAATCATTACCATTTCTGGTTCTCGTCGAAACGATTAATTGCTCGGGGTGCGATGTTAATTGGCTTAATTAATGTGGAGCGGTGGTGGTGCCGTGTTATGAGCGCGCTGCTTGCACAAACCCGTTGGGGCCCGAGTTCGATTCCCGGCTAACATCAGTGGCGAGTGGTTCTCTGAGCAGCTCCCGCCTGGGTCTGCTCCATCAATCCCCTGAACATTCTAACAGCAACAACTCCTAATACCAGCAACATCAACTCTCATTATGACTATCATCATCATCATACTATTCGCTCATCACATTACGTGCACAATTACGACTGTTAAGAAAAGTAAGCGGTCTTGCAAAGGATGATGATGACGACGACGACGACGATCCAAGGGGCCCCGAGGATGATGACGGAGTGCAATCCAAGGTATCTAACGCGTGAGAGAGAGAGAGAGCGGCAGAGAGAACGGGTACCACCCGCGTGGAGACGGAGCGATGGAATCGGCGCGCGCATGCGTGTGCGTGTGTGCGTGTGTGTGTGTGTGTGCGTGTGTTTGTGTGCGTGTGTGTTTGTGTGCGTGTGTTTGTGTGTGTGTGTGTGTGTGCATGTGCGTGTGTGTGCGCGCACGGTAGGATCGTTACATGGCAGGATCGCGAAAGACGGAATGACGAGCGGCCTTCATCCAGCAGCGGAGTGAACACGGATGCCGTGATGCCGATAATGATTTTGCTAGAGACGATTACGACCCCGTTGTAAACATTCAGACGTAGCGGCGCGTGAAGTCATACGAAAACTCGACAACACTTACCTGTGTAGTAGTGGTGTAGGGGTATCCGAACTGTGTATATGACATCGTCTTTTCAGATTGCTTAGCTCATTATACAACGCGTCGTCGTTGTTGTTGTTGTTGGAGTTTAAAGACTCGCAAAATAAAAACGAGAGAGACAAAGGCGGCGAGAGAGAGAGAGAGAGGAGAGTAGAGGGAGGCACAGCGGGGGCTGCGCTGACTTGCTACTAAATAATGTCTCACGATTCCACTCTGCCAGTTGGGATATTTAGAAGCACCAAAAAAATTATAATTTATATTCACGGAAAGAGAGAAAAAAAATTGTTGGAACGCTGTTCAATTCGGCTTGCCAGCCAAAGCCGCGCGCGCGTGTGTGTGTATATAAGTAAGCACGGATTCTCGTTATGAAGGATAATATGCTAAAAAATAATTAAACGGACACACAAAAATATATTTACCAACCCTACAACGCAGCTGTAAGTCATACACAAACACACAGAACGCGCGAAATTAATCTGTGAACTAAAAAAAAAATGTATTATCAAAAAACCTTCCACCCCCCCCCCCTCTTGAAAAAATATATCTTCTCTATTGGTAGCGAATCGAGTAAAACAAAATCTCCCCCCCCCACTGGCTAGAAAAAAACTGAAACCTGTAAAATATTTCCCAAAAAGCCAGATGGATTGCAATAGCCGGTAGCGGCTTTTTGTGCCCTCTTTTTTCCGAAGCGACCCCTGTGAGTTAGAGGAGGATGAGGAGGAGGTTTAAGGAAGAGTTTGAGATCACAACACCACCAGCACCACACAGGTGGAACGGTGGAGTTTTCCGAACGCGCGGCCGATCACGGTAGGAGAGAGAGCGAGCCATGACGTCACGGTTCTAAAAAAAAAATTGTGTGGTGCGTGTGGTGTGTGATGTGTGTGTGTGTGGTGTGTGTGTGTGTGCGTGGTGTGTGTGTGTGTGTGGTGTGTTAACTCGATCCGTCTTCCCTCCACCTCACCGGGACGTCACCCCCGCCAATGGTTGCCGAGTTTGACTTTCTCCAAACCCATTCTCCCGCATCCCGGAACATCTCCCTCCCTCTGTCTCCCTTCTTCCTCCACCTCTGTTCCCCTCTCTCCTCCTCCTCACTCCTCCTCTGTCTCCCTTCCTCCACCTCTGTTCCCCTCTCTCCTCCTCCTCCTCCTCACTCCTCCTCTGTCTCCCTTCCTCCACCTCTGTCCCCGCACTCTCCTCCTCACTCCTACCCTGTCTCCCTTCCTCCACCTCTGTCCCCGCTCTCTCCTCCTCTGCTGCTGCCCTCTCTTCTCAGCTCCGTCCCGTCCTCCCCCTTCTCAGCCCTCCCGCTCTCTCTACCTCCTCCTCCTGCTCCTTCTCCTCCTCCTCTGTTCCTTCCGTCCCGTCTTCATTCTCACCTCTTTCTCTCCATCCTCCACCGCCCTCTTCCAGCTTGGAGTTTCAACACACGCACGCGCGCGCGCGCACACACACACGCACATGTTTGCATGCACAGATGTGGCGTGTATACACAGTACTGACCTTCTGACGTTCGCACGGACAAGTTACTCCGAGGAGCGCCGAGTCATCCCAGCGGTGTTACAGAACCGGTTCAGAGAATCATCTTCCGATGATCATTCGGTGGTTCTCGACGCAGCGCGCCAACCGATGTGACACCGCTCCAGACGCGCGCGCGAATACCAAAGCGGCAAAAAATGCACTTCCACACACTGTATCGATACGGACACGTGGATGTACATACGTGAACACGCTCATTAATACACGGACATGTACACGTTCATACACGGACTCAGACACGTGAATACGCGGACGTGTACACAGCAATGAATACAGTAACGCACGCGCACGCATGCGAGATGCGGGCCCCCTACGCGCGATCTCTCCACGTCTCCCCGGCGGCTCTCCATCATACACAAAGACAAAGATCCCCCGTGTAGCCTACATGGGCTGTCGGAGCAAGTGCTGTTAGCGAGCATCTATTAAGGCCGCACCTACGGCGTAACGAGAGGCCATTGGTGTGGCGAGCACCACACCCGAATCACACTCGCGCACACACACACACTCCATCACACACACACACACACCCGTGCGTACGTACACTCGGGACACAATGCATCCACAGCTCTCACCCATTCCTCCCTCCCTCCATCTCCCCCCCCACCTCAATCTCCCTCCCTCTCCCTCCCTCCCGTCGCCCCTTATATTCGCTCTATAAGCTATTCGTGGTATAGCCGTTGCATTGGGGTTTTTTTGTAGCTGTACAAATGCATTATACATGCATACGCACAGACACGTGCATACGTACCTATACAAAAAAACAAAGACCCCCCCCCACCTCCAATAGCCTTAACAGACTTTAGGGAAAAGCGCTGTCAGCGAGCGCCTATTAAGTCCGCTTATGGCACACGAGGGAGCTGGTGTTGCTTGCCAACTTTAAGCACGGCCGCCTTTGTCTCCCCAGTGTTTACACACGCCGCACCAGGAGCTCATTTGAGGCTGAGCCGACCTAGGAGAGACCCAGCACCCGGTGGAGATGATTGGTGAGTTGATGTGCAGTCCGGCCTGCGAATCGAACTCAGAGGCACCGGGTTCTTAGCTCACAATACGGAATGCCCTACCGCTCCCCTCCAAAGACAAAGGTCCCCCGTGTAGCCTTAACAGACTGTTGGGACAACAGCCATGAGTGAGTAGCACCTATGAAGGCCGGCACGGCACACGAGGGGGTGGGTGGCCAGCACCACGCCCGGCCGCCTTTGTCTCGCGAGCGGCAATGTTTACACATCTCACCAGGTACTCGTTTGAGGCTGAGTCGATCTAGGGCAGGCCCGGGACCGGCTCCGATAATCGTCACTGGCGTTCGCCGTGAGCGGGAATCGAACTCGGGTCGCCGGGTTCGTATTGCAGCGCGCTAACCGCTGCACCACCGCTCCCCACGTGCGCGCACACACACACACACGTGCGCGCACATTTTCAGATGGATTTCATATCCACACATTTAGTGATATCGTCTTTAGTTGCCTGGAACTCTGTATTTAGAGCGGCACGGAGATGGGAGCTAAAGGGAGCGGAGTATTATTTATTTATCGCATATGCAAGTGGCAGCCGAAGCGAGCCCAAAATGTGCGGCTGCATATATATGTGTGTGTGTATGTCTTGTGGTGCGTTGTGTCAACATCGCCACTGGGGAGACAAAGGCGGTCGGGCGTGGCGTTTGCTCCCCCCCCCCCCAACCTCCTTGTGTGTCGTGCCGGCCTGCTTAGATGCTGCTCGCTAACAGCACTTGTCCCTCAAGTCTGCTTAGGCTGCACGGGGGATCTTTGTCTTTGCCTTGTGGGGATGCAACAGCAATTGTTCCTATATTATTGGTCTCGCAGATACCCGACTGTCCGGATTATAAGACGCACCTGAAAATAAGACGCACACAGCAAACGCGACACCCGGTGTGAATGAAGTGGTGGTCATAGCGATTGTAGTCACAGACTCGTACACACAAAGCCAAAGATCCCCCGTGTAGCCTTAACAGACTGCGGGGGCAAGTGTTGTTAGCGAGTACTTACGAAGGCTGAAACGGTACACGAGGGGGTGGGTGGGTGGCCAGCACCACGTGGCGATGTTTACACACCGTACCGGGTACTCATTTGAGGCTGAGTCGACCTAAGGGAGACCCAGGACCGGATCAGATAATCGTCACTGGTGTTGGCCGTGAGCGGGAATCGAACTCGGGATGCCAGGTTCGTGGTGCAGCGTAGCGCTAACAGCTACACTACCGCTCCCCGTAACGCACTAACACACACCACTAACACACACACTAACACACACTAACACACACTAACACAGGCTACTAACACACACTAACACACACACTAACACACACTAACACAGGCTACTAACACACACTAACACACTAGAAACACGCACACTAACACACACTAACACACACTAACACAAACACTAACACACACACTAACACACACTAACACAGGCTACTAACACACTACAAACACACCCACTAACACACACTAACACACACTAACAAACACACTAACAACCCTAACACACACACTAACACACACTAACACAGGCTACTAACACACACTAACACACTAGAAACACGCACACTAACACACACTAACACACACTAACACAAACACTAACACACACACTAACACACACTACTAACACACTACTAACACACACACTAACACGCACTAACACACACTAATACACTAGAAACACGCACACTAACACACACTAACACACACTAACACACACACTAGCACACACTAACACGGACATTAACACGGACACTAACACACACAATAACACATTACAAACACACACTAAACAGACACTAACACACACTAACACACACTAACACACACACTAACACACACACTAACACGGACAATAACACACACACTAACACACTACAAACACACACTAACACACACACTAACACACACTAACACACACACTAACACTCACACTAACACACACACTAACACACACACACTAACACACACTAACACACTACAAACACGCACATTAACACACACACTAACACGCACACTAACACACACTAACACACACCAACACACACTAACACACTAACACACACTAACACACACTAACACGGACACTAACACGGACACTAACACACACACTAACACACTACAAACACACACTAACACACACACTAACACACACTAACACACACACTAACACACACTAACACACACACTAACACGGACACTAACACACACACTAACACACTACAAACACACACTAACACACACACTAACACACACTAACACACACTAACACACACACTAACACACACACTAACAAACACACTAACACACACTAACACACACACTAACACACACTAACAAACACACTAACACACACTAACACACACTAACACACACACTAACACACACTAACAACAACAACCGCCATTCGCCACTAAGTGGCCACGTGAAGTGTCGAACGCCCGCTGGCAGGAGGTCACGGGGCAGACCCAGGTGCCACGGGTCGACTGACCGAGATGACCGAGATGACTAGCTGATGCACCACCTGTGCCCCCTACTGTACCAACTTGCTGTGCTTTAGCCACCCGGCGCTCCGCTCGTTGTTGTGAGCGTCGCTCCTCCGTTCTCTGTTGTTGTTGGAGGGCGACTGCCTCCAACTGGCCAGTAGCGTCCTTCACGAGCCTCCTCCACAGAGGCCGATCTTGACACCGCTGGTACCAGTCATCGGCAAGTCCACTCAGCTCCACGTCCTCCTGTACCACATCACTCCATCTCTTCTCTAGCCCGTGCCGCGCCCGTTTAGCCCCCTCGATCCGGCCGAACAAAAGCTGTTTAGGCATGCGGTGGCTGGGCATGCGGGCTACATGACCCAGCCAACGCAGCCTTGCCTGCTGGAGGAGCTCACCGATGGGACTTTGCCCAGATCTTTCCAGGATTTGTGACCTCCTCACACAATCCAGC